TTTAGAGCTGTTGTGCATAGGGTCGCTATGAGTCGGAAACGACTCGACGGCACATAACAACAACAACAAGAAGTGCTTTTAAGTTTTCTATACTTTCTCGAAGCATGGTTGTATCAACTACATAACGCAGATTGTGTATAAGTCTTGCTCCAATCCTGATGCCACATTCTCCTTCATATAATTTAGCTTCTTGAATGATTTCCTCAGAATACAGACTGAATAAGTTTTGAGAAAGGATTCAACCCTGACAACATATTTTTCCTGATTTTAAACCATATGGTGTCCCCTTGTTCTGTTAGGACAGTTGCTTACATATACTTTTCAAATGAGTACAATCAAGTGTTCTAGGACACCCATTTTTTTCTCACTGTTAGCTATAATTTGATATGATCCACCCAGTGAAATGCCTTTGCAGAATCAATAAAATGCAAGTTAGCATCTTTCTGGCATTTTCTGCTTTCAGAAGAGATCTGACATCAGAAATTATATCCCTGGTACCATGGTGGCTCCCGAATCCAGCATAAATTTCTGGAAGTTCCCTGTTCCCGTCTATTTTTAATAATCTTTAGTAAGATTTTATGTGCATGTAAAATTAATGATATTATTTTATAATTTTCACACTCTGTTGGATCAATAATTCTTGGACATCAGAAGAGACTGAAAATTGCACTAGATTAGTATGGAGAGGGCAAAAAAAGGAAGAAATGTTGACATGAAAGAGCTGAACAGAAGATTTCAAGGAGCAGCTCAAGAAGACAAAGCAAAATATTATAAATAAATGTGCAAAGAGCCCAGAGGTGTGTGGTTCGAATCCACTAGACACTCTGCTGAAGAAGGAGGGACAATCTTCTCCTGTACAGTCAGATCTGATTTGATGACACACACACAAAATAATATAATAAAGATGTGCAAAGAGCTGAAGTTAGAAAACCAAAAAAGGAAGGACAAGCTTGGCATTTCTCAAAAGGAAAGAGTGAAAAAACAAATTCAGGCCTTGAGTTGCAATACTGAAGGATTTTATGGACAACATTTTAAATAGTGGAAGCATCAAAAGAAGATAAAATATAAAGTGTTCTATACCAAAAAATTGGCTGATAGAACCATTTCAGGAAATAGTGTATGAACAGGAACCAATAGCAACAAAGAAAAAGTTAAAGACGCACTGTTGTTGTTATGTGCCATCGAGTCACCTGCAACGCATAGCGACCCTGTGTATAACAGCCCTGAACCCTGCTCTATGCTGTTCCAATCTTATCCCCGACACACTTACTCCCATTACTCCAGTCACTAAATCAAGCCATCCCATCGAGGGTCTTCCTCTCTTGTGTTGTCCCTCCACTCTCTCAAGCATGATGTCCCTCCTTGCAATGCCCAAAGTATGTAAGACAAAGCCTCAGAATCCTTGCCTCCAAGGAGCAGACTAGTTTCACCTCTCTAGGATGAACCTCCATGGGATATTCAATACTGGCAAAAAATAAGGCCTCAGGAATTGATGGAATACCAATTAATATGTTTCAACAAACATATGCAGCCCTGGTCATGCTCATTAGTCTATGACAAGAAACTTGGAAGACTTGGTCAATTGCTTCGAAGAACTCACCTGGAATTGACTCAGAGCTGACCCTCCAGGGGGTTTTCAGAGGCTATAAATCTCTCAGGAGGAGAATGCCCATTTTCCTCTTGAGAAGTAGCTGTTAGAGTTGAACTGTCACTAGGCTACCAGACTTCCCTCACCTCTAATGAAGAATATCTTAATCGTGGACCCCCCCAGGTGAGACTCCAGCAGTGTTGCCCCAGGTCTGAAGTTTTGACGTAAAGGCATATATTAGTTTTGGTACAACAATGTTTAAAATTACTCACCAACTAAATTATTTTTTTAACAAAATTATTTAACTTCTCACCCTATACTAGGCTGTTGTTATTCTTATGTACGGTCAATTCAAAACCAACTCATAGGTGGCCCTCCAGTTTATTTCCCAAGGCTGTAAATTGCATGAAAGGAGATTGTCCATTTTCCTCCCATACAGCAACTGGTGGATTCGAACCACATGCCTTTGGGTTGGAAGTGCAATTGCTTACCACAAAGCCACCAGGGCTCTGTTGCTCCACACTCCTATCTTAATTAGTAAAACTGACCTTGTGGGAAGATGTGGCACGCTGCCCTGTGACTTTGTGGCCCTCATCACACCATAGCATGCCCAGATGGAGAAGGCTGGGTTCACACACGTACCGGCATGGTGGCTGCCTGGCTGAGCCCTGGCACGGGTAACTCCTGGGACAGGGCGGTTGATCTTGGCAGTGTGGTGGTGCTGGCTTCTGCCATCAGTTTGGTCGGAGTGGCTGTAAGAAAGCAATGAAACCTTCCTGGCTCTCACCCCCTTGGCTGCTTTCTTATTAAGAGAGTGGAACTATAAGTGTGTAATCTCTCATAAAGGAAGTGGGTTAGCCATACTCATAGTGCCAGGTCCCAACTCGTCCTGCAAGCAGGTAATAATACAAGACCACAACTTCCAAGCTTTCTCTCCCATGTGACTCAGCCAGCTCCCTGAGTAAATACTTCATCAAAGCAATTGAGTAGTAGACCAATGTTTTGCAGCTGTAAAGTATTTCACCTCCATTATGATTCTCCCCTCGCCCCCCCCATGCTCCAGTGAGATACCAGTTAATCGAAGGCAGGATCTCAATGGGGAATAAGCATGGATCTGACAAGTGGATGACTGGTGTCTGCTTCATAAGCATGGACTACCCGGAGATCCTTGTTGGGGACCGTCTTTCACAGTCCAGTAGGGGGCCCACCCCTCTCCCAGTCTGTGGCCCTGCACTCACAGGTGGGTTCAGACATCGCTGTGTGTGAGGATTTGTGTGAACTTCTTGAGGACGCTGATGGCGAGTGACTGGTCGTAAGGCCTGAGGCACCCAAGTCACGTGCATTAAAGTGCTGCTGAGGTGCCAAGCTTGAGCCCTTGTCCTGAAATACATGCAAATCAAGGCCACATTTCAGCATTCGGATATGATGAATGCATCACATGACTTTAACATGTATGGAAGTTTGAAGGCTGTTGAAAGAAGAATATAGATTTTCAGAGACAATTCTAAACACATTCACAGAGTGGATATACTGGATGTCTTTGAGAGGTTTATAGATTCCACAAGCAATATTATTATTACTATACCATCATCTTTTGAGTTTTTTAGATTTTGATAATTCATTTTGCATTTTAGTTTTTCTTTAAAATTGTCATCCAACCACCTGGAATCTTGACTTTCTAAAAAAGGGAGGAGATAGAGTTTAGAAATAAAGTTGTTTGCCTTTGAGTCAGAATCAACTCATAGCTGACCCTCTAGCAAGTTTACAGAGGCAGGTAATTGCACAGGAGATTTCTAATCCTTCTCCTGTAGAAAAGTTCGTTGGTGGATTCGAATTAGGTGCCTTTGAGATTGCAGCCCACCTTCTTACACTAGCCCACTAGAGCACCCTAGTTGGTGTTATTGGCTGTTAATAGAGCCAACGAAATAGGTATCTTGGACCTTCTGGGTCAATGCTCTTCTGTATTTGACCTCTGGTCTTCACTTAGCCTGGCTTCCAGGATTCCTCAGCCTCAATCAGAGTGTGAGGAGAAAGGACCTGGGATGATACAATCCTGAGGAACCATCTTCCCAGCCTCTGCTAATTAGGTGTCCCAGTCAGAAGCAAGGATTACGTTAATTTTTAAATAGGAAAACCTTCTCTAACGTGATTGCCCTCATGAGCTATGTTCTTATTTAGTCTTAGAATCCTTTGGTCTATTTGGACAGTCTGATCTTGGGTATATCCTGGTGGACACAAGTCTAAGTTGCTTTTCTGTCTTTTGGATCATCGCTCCAGCAAAAATCACTATTGTGTGTGAGTGCATGTGTAGGGCAGAAAGGACAGACTCGTAACCTTCAGGTTTTGGTACAAAACAGAGTGACAGGCTGTGCTTGGATTTATTGTGGCAAATGTCCAGTTTGGAGTGCTGGCATCTTGGCTACAGTCTTCCTTAAGTCAGTGTCACTCAGGAATGCAGTTCACAGATCTTGGCTGTGAACTGTGTGTTATTGATCCAGGGAGGGTGGAGTCCATAAATGCAGAGTGATCATGTGGAAACCTCTGTAGCCAGCTGCACAATCACACCACTGCTCATCACATCATATCACGTTAGAGCCAAATTCTTCACTATGTACAAAACAACAACAACAAACCCAGCACCACACTCTGCATCACCACAGAGTTTGAGGGGGAGGACTGCCCTAGAGCCTTTATTTAAAAAACAAAACCAAACTGAAAATCCAACCCATTTCCATTAACTTAGTTGCAGCTCAGTGAGCCTACAGGATGGAGTTGAACTGCCCATAAGGCTCAGCAAGGCTGTAATCGTTCCAGAAGGATCAGGCATTTGCTGCCTCATTTTTCATGCAGCGGCTGGTGGATTTGAACGGCCAACCTTTTTAATGGCAGCCAGGCATTTAACCACTGCACCAGCAGGGTCTCTTTTACTTTGAAAGTCCCCCCTTGATATGGTGTCTTGTATGGTTTGATGAGAAGCAGTTTTGTACGTAACCCTATGGGATCCCTATAGTTCCAAAACCTCAATAAAGAATTTCCAGCGAGAGGATAAACATGCTTGTCCTTTGGCAGTGATGCATGGTATGCCTAACACCTGCCTGTTAACAGCTTCATACGGTTCTCTGATATGCCTCATGATGTATTATGTGACAAAGCGGGGTAATAAGCATTCCCATAAACAATGACAGGAGGGCCGTATCCACACACTGGTGATAAATCACCTTAGACTGCATCTCCAGGTAGCATGTCAGCAGGGGAGGCTCTGCACAGACTCAGAACTGCTCTCTGAGCTTTAAAGGTAATTGCTCCCTCTTCCTAACTCCATCTCTGAAGGACCAGAGGTGCTTGGAACCACAGATGGGTGGAGATGGCTGTATCAGTGCTGCCGTAAGACCCTGTGGCCAATAGCTCCACGTTCAAGGTCAGCGAGCATTCTGGAACCTTAAACAAACATATTGCAGCTACTCTAAGAACCACTTTCTTTCTTAAAGCTAAAGTTATTCAAAGGAGCCCTGGTGGCAGAGTGTGTGACTTATTGGGCTGCTATCTGAAAGGCCAGCAGTTCAAATCCACCAGCTGCTCTTTGGGAGAAAGATGGGCAGTCTCTTCTCATGAGGATTTACAGCTTCAGAAAGCCTGTGGAGGGTCATTATGAGTGAGTCAACTCGATGCCAGAGGGTGGGGTTTGGTTTTAAAATAATCTACACTGATTTTTTT